TACGCCCCTCCCTCGTTTCTCCTTTACCATGGCCATACCCTTGGGCCCTCCCGCGCGCGCACCGGCGCGGCGGCGCTGACACCGGTGGTTACGCTGACGAGACCAGCCGCTCCCCGCCCTATCTACGGAGCCGATACCTTACTAGGCTTGAACGCGAAGCACTGAGCGAAGGAAGCGCGAGCTGGGATGCCGCAGCGAGGCCGATCCACAGCGGCGGAGCTCCTACACTGCAACGGCGACATTCCGGTGAGTTACAACAACGCCAGAGAACTTGGGGGTAGAGAGTGAGCTCAAGGAACACACCACGGACACAGACGACGCGGTGGTTTGGCTGGAGGCGGCCCTAGCCGAGCTGGCCACGTGCGCACGGATGGTGCGGTGGCGCACGACGGTGGCAAGGCTGCGTCACGGGAGGCTAGGCGGTGGTAGCGACTAGGCAAAGGTGCGTAGGGTGATGAGCAGGTGGAGGCGAAGCTAGTGGTGCAACGAATTAACACGAGCTGCACTGGATAGGGAGCTTGCCTTCGACGCGTGCCCCGGCGGTCTTAATGACCCGGCGAGGGAAAACTCCGAATTGGAGCATGGCACGGCGAGGCTCACTGCAAGGTGGGGTCGGGCGGTTGGCTGGCTACACGATGGAGTTGCGGACGGGGTTAATTGGACTGAGGTGGCTTCACCAGGTTGAATTGCAAGCGCGGTACTGGCAACCAAGGCGGTAGAGGAATAGGGGACGGCCGGCGTGGCTTGGCGGGACGTTGCCGTGGTGGGACGCGACTGTCAATCGGTGCACAACACGTACCGCTACAGGGCGATGGGGAAACGACCAACGTGCTCAGGATGGTGGGACGCATGGCCATAATTCGCAAACTGCCGATGGTGGCTCGGCCCAGCGCGCCGCAGTGACATGGCATCGGTCAGAGGAGGCAGCAGTGCAACATCATCGAGCGCCGACGCGACGACAAAGCAGGCGAGGCAAGGCGACGTGCGGGCAATGCCAAAAGTGGCCATGCGCGCATGGTACCACCAGGTGCGCCCGAGGCGATAGAGCGGCTAGGCGGACGCTACGACGGTGGCAGGGCGCACGCGGTGACTTCGCGCAAATGGCCGCGGTTAGCAGCAGCGCAGTGGCGCGACGCGTGGTCAGCAACATGGCGAAGCGGCTATAGTGGGCTGGCCAGAGCAGCGGACCCATGGCAACGGTGGTGGTGGCCGAGCGGCCAGGCCGCCGGGTGCGGCATGCGCGTGCGTGTGCGTGCGTGGCATGCCAGGGCGCAGCAACGGCGGCGCGGGGCTAGTGGCAGGGCCGGCCAGCGCGGTGGCCCGCGTGCGGCGTGCGCGTTGGGCAGCAGGCGCGCCGGGCGGACCAGCGCAGCGCGCTGAGCCAAAACAGAGGGTGACCGCATCCAAACACAGCGACCGACGGTAACGTGCCATGCACGGTTTTTAAAGCGGCTCAAAAATCCAACTCGATGATCCTGTAGTTAAACTAACTATTTAACGCTCGAGATGGTATATTAAACTACTAAAACAAACCCTAAAACCATGTTTCTACTTAACCTATTCTCTTATAAAAATTCCCAAATTTCGCTTCATCGATTCATTTTCCAACTTAAGAAAATGACTAAGTCTTTGTTCGGATTCGCGTCAACTTCGATTTCCAAGCTATCTAGCGAATCCCGTTCTCGACGACAAGTATTTCATCGCCACCTACGAAGTTTGTACAACAAACTTTATTAAAGTGACGGATATGCGTTCTATAGTATTTCGTCCAATAAAAATTCATCTAGAACTCTAAGTGATATAATGCGACATAAAATATAACCTCCGTTTCGCGTTTCCGATAAACGTTTCAAGTCACAAAAATTTATTTACACACTATATTTCATACACTATCACATAAACATGATGCACATGCAGTGTTTAGCAAAAGATTGTACAGTGTAACACCGAGGGTGTTATAGACAGGAAGCTCGAGCTCGGTTCATACAGGAGGGCTAGGATGGGAGGCGTTGGGAGGTAGGGAAAGAGCCCTGATGGTTCCCACCTATATTTGTGTAAGGGGAGAGAAGACTAGAGAAAACAAGGGTGGAGGAAGAACAAAGAGCTAGCGGCAAAAGGCACATTTATTTCACCATTGTTCTTTCCCCCCCGAGGCAAAAAAAATGATTATTTTAATTGCCATGGTGTCTTCTAGAAAATTTGTCACAAACCAAAGTGTCCACCAGGCATCGACCAATTCGAATTTTTTCGATGTCTACTGGCAATGCAATATCCCGTAGCAAATTATGCTTTGATAATAATATCTGTTGACTCTAATATGTTTTATAAGAAATTATCCACTCCTGCCATTGTGAAAACAGTATACAGAAGCCCCCTAAATTTCCTTTAAAAATACCCACATCTACCATTATGAAGCATAATCTAAATTAATCTCCTAAATCTGCATCAAATTACCTTCCCTATCACTATGATAGATAATGCCTTAAATTTACATCTAAATTACTCACCTCTACTGTTATGAAACATAATCTAAAGTAACCTCTAAATTTGTATAAAAATACTTGCCCTACCGTTATGATAGGTAATCTAAGTAACTATTAAATTTATAACTAAATTACCCACTTATACCATTATTAAGAACAAAGTAAAATGTCCTTTACATAAAAATTACCAACAACAACTACTACTTCTACAAGAAAAAGTTTAAATGACCATAAATTATTCATATATGTGCTGCTAAATTACCCAATTCTATTACCATTAAGTAAAAAAGTGCATGTTGTGCCATCATGCATATCAAGTATACATACATTCATGAGCATACAAATTTATTTGTATGTTTTACCAATCATGGAAAATGTTCACTTAACAACGCACGTACCAATTCATTTAAAATTATATTAATTTCCATGAAAATAATTAATGTAAGTGGCTAATTTAGATAAATTTATTTATTTTGACTAGAACATTATGATATATCCATAATATAATTTTAACACTATTTTTCTATAAACAAATAGTACTACACATATAATGTTTTGATAGAGGAAATTCAACATCTCAAGCAACGGAGAAGGTTAGTATAGCCCAAAGATGGTCATGGTCTCCCTGGTGTTTAAAATTTCTTTGGAGTAAACTTGAATGTTACTATAGTTAATCTAAATATCAATATCTTTTTGAGGTTCATCGGCCCCTCCTAAATCTTACTCCAAGATCCACCTTCTATCTTGAGCAATGCAGTGCAGGCTTAAATGGCCATTTATATCATCATAGTAATCAAGATGTAGTCTAGAACTTTAAGACCTTACATTTAATGAATACAAAAGGAGAGTTTTGAGTAATAGGCACAATAAGGAAAATAGTTTCAACTTCACATATTGATAAAAAAAAATTGCATAGCAACTAATAAGATTTAAATTTAAAAAGTTAAAATAAAGAATTATGACATCACGAGACATAAGATGCAACAAGAACTATCGTAGCTTAAAATAAGATCTCAACTAAATGCATGCTGGATATATATGCATGGAGGTGCTATGCAAACGAAGAAAAAAATGTTTATATGGATGTAAAAAAGATACATAGTAATTGATAAGATTATGACAGGTGGATAGAGATTGTAGAGTACCAATATTGAGTATTTAGAAAATGGACAAAGATAGAGTGCGAGCAGAGATAACTAATAATTTTGGTTAGTTGTAAATACTAAACATTAAAATCTAATGCTTATATTTTCTAATATTCTAGTTCGTGCACATGGAGTACCACGGGTTGATAGACTAGTATGCAAAATTATCATGCCTCAAAATAGTACAGCGATGGCAAATGTTGTTTAACGTTGACCATTTCTTGATGCCTTTTTTTATACATTACTATAAGGGCAGTCTCAATGAAAGTTTTAAAGGAGTTTTATTCTCATTTAGTTTTGTGGCATATCAACAAATTTGCTGAGTTGACATGTTAATTATAAAGAGAGAGATAGAGAGTTTCGTAGAGTTTCATCTAGATGAAACCCGCTATTAGAGTTACCAGCACAAAGTTGACGTGTCAGTTTGTGTGATGAAACTCCCCATTGAGACTGGCCTACGCATGTTTCAATTGTTAAGTCTAACCACCAGATAATTTAAAGGAAATTATTTCGGCCATTAAATTTTCACAAGCACCTCAACAGCCTAGAATCCCAGATGCTGAATTGTTTTTTATTTGTTGAAAGTTGTAGCAAGTGACATATATAGGTAGGAGTACAATAATACTTGTAGTTAAGACTCGACTCATCTCGCATAACGCATCTTTCCAGTACTCTGGATAAATGGAAGAGGAAACTCTGCATCGTGTATTTAGGAACTCCAGCACTTTAATTTTCTTATTAGAATAAGGCTTCTGATATCCTCTTCTGAAAATCCCATCTCCAGGTACTTCCAGTGGATACATCCTCGTCTCCAGCACAAGCATCACTGCTTCCTGCCACTAGCTACACCACACAAGAAACAACCAACATAAAGGGAGTTAGCAGACTGAGAGAGCACGTACAGTACACAATGCGGGACCTGGTGATTGGGTTAGCCAAGTCGGTGGTGGAGGTGGCCCAGAACAAGGTCCAATCGGCAGGCGAGTTAAATCTGCATCCCGTGAGCCCGCAAGTCCTGGTGTTCATAAAAAAAGAGTTCGGTATGATCCATTCCTCCCTTAAAGTCACTGACGAGGTGCACATCAACGACGTCGTGGCATGGGACTGGCTGAGGCAGGTGCGTGAGCTGGCCTATGACCTAGAAGACTGCATCGAGGTCGTCTTTTTCCTGAGAAGGGTCGATTCGTGGAGGAACCTGCCCTCGTGGTCTCGTCTGTTCGCTTGCCTCAAGGAAAAGTATATTCCGGTCGCAATAGGACTCGCAACGGTATTTACAGTCATGGCTCGGTATTTTTTCCTCGCACCAGTACTCACACCGGTACTTTCAGCCATGGCTTATCAGCTAAGCAAACAGAACATATACTGGACAGCAATGTCTATGATCGAGGCGTTAAGGGTGAGGGTGGAGGACTTTAGCCACAGGAACTCTCGGTACAGCTTCATCAGCAACTCTGGCTCCAAGTCCAAGCCCGTCCTTGCGCAGCAACAACCGGCGCCTCCCAATTCTGTCGGATACGACACGGGAAGGCACCACATCTTAGGGGATCTCACCCAGCTTATCACCAACAAGGACGATGCTGACCTTCAAGTGATTTCGGTGTGGGGGGCAGACGGAGGTATTGGGACGACATCCATCATCAGAAGCTGCTACAGTGATCCAGAGATCATTCAAAGTTTCATATGCCGAGCCTGGGTCAACCTCACTCACCCATTCAATCCCCGTGAGTTTGTCCGGTCCTTGATGGCTCACTTCTATGCAAACAGTTGCCAAGAACGAAAAGGAGCAATCGTTGGTGTTGATGTCCTAACTAGTATGGATGCGAGTGCCGATCTCCTCAGTGAGTTCGTTCAGATAGTTGACAAGAACAGGTACCTCGTTGTCTTGGAAGACCTGCCCACCATGGCAGAGTGGGATTCAATCCGGACGTTCCTTCCCAACAGAAAGAATGGCAGCTGGATCGTCGTGTCCTCACAGAAATACGAAGTTGCAAGTTTATGCGTGGGACATCCGTATCAAGTATTGGACCTGAAGCAGTTGCGGGGTGAACACTATATTTGTGCTTTCTTGAGAGAGGTAAACCTGAAAACACCCGCCAGTTACCTTAATTCTGCAAATAAAATTACTCTCTTGCTACTTCCTATGTTATAAATGTGTCGAATATTTAATTGTATTAATTGTGGTTACAGTAGACTTGTGTTGTAATTAGCAGTAGAGGGTTAGGTGAGCTAGATATTAGTTCTTATAACCCGGTCCCTCTATAAAAGGAGGAGGCTGCACTTGTAACCTACTCAACCACGATAGTGAGAAGCAACACAAAGCAACAGTGTAAGAGCCCTGTTGGTTAGGGGCCCTAGGGTGGCTGCGGCTAGGGTTTAGGGGAGGAAGAGGGGGCGGCGCAGGGGAAGAAGAGGAGGAGGTGACGCAACAGAGAGAGAGAGAGAGAGAGAGAGAGAGAGAGAGAGAGGAGAGGGATAGAGAAGCCCTTATGCTGTTCTTTCTTGACCGCAATGATTACATAGCCCCTCTACTTATAGTCCTGGGTAGACTTGTATTCTAAGTAATCTAATGAGGAAAGTCCTTATAGACATTGACTCCTCCCTATCTAATCTCAACCGATCCTATTCCTATTGGGGATCCTCTGGGTATGGATAGTGGAGCGGTGGGGACCCCCCCTTGGTTGCGACACTGTTGCTGCCCCTGGCGCCTAGGCCAGATGGGCCTTTAGCCCTCATTGGGCGTATGACATCACTCCCCCCTTCTCCGATTAACGCGCCCTCGCGCTGAAGTAGTGTCCAAGTGTTGACGTCGTCGGGTGGATACGCTTGTCCTCGGAGGATGGCTTCAATGGCGACGAAGTGGTGGCCACGAATTGGGTCTGCAAGGACGAGGTTGTCCCTCGTGCGTTCCACACGAACTCGAGGCGGTAGAGTAGGTTGCTGATGTAGCTGTAGAAGAAGTAGGTGTATGGCCTGATTGTTCCCTCCGCGGTCGTCGTTATTCGGCGGGCTACTAGCAGCAAGGTGCGGCGGACCGCGGCGTCGACGGCGAAGTGCTGCGTCTCTTTTGGTGGCGCCATGAAGTTGTTGGAGTGATTGGTGATGTCAGGAAGCAGGTAGGTGTTCACCTGTCGCCAGATGGTGGAGTTGGAGCATGTAGCTGGCGTTGTCGTCAGGTCCAGAATGGTGCCGAACATGAAGTAGCCCTTCTCGAACTCGTTAGGGGATAGCTGTTGTTGGTCGGAGTCGGGTCGGAGGCCGGTGAAGATGTTGTCAACGCGGAAGATCTGCCATCCCAAGCCGTTGATGAAGATCACCGTAGTGGGGAAGACTGCGTCCTGCAGCCATGGGCGACCCAACAGAATGCCTGTGGGGGTGGCATTGTGGTGGGGAGCCATTGGTGGTGAGTGGCTGCCTAGAGCCAGGTACCTCATATTATCGTGGCCACCTAGTGATATGGCCACAAGTAGATCCAGAAGGAGTGGCGATGTAGCGGGGATGTAGAGGCGCCCATCGAAGAAGAGCAAGCCTTGGTCAATTGACCAGGCTGGCACTGCCGTCCCTTGGGTGATGGTGAGGGCGAGGTGGCGTAGCTCTCTCTGTTGAAGCACGGCCCAACATAGACTGTCGAAGACCGACGCGATGGTGCCGATGTTGTCGAGGGCGTCGGGGCGTCGAGACCGGCTTGCCCGGTTCGTTATGTCGCGGGGCGGTGACGGTGGTGCTTGTAGTTGAGGTAGCGCTGGTTGTTCCTGTGGTGTCCTAGTGATGGGCGGCAGTGCCGGGAAAGCGAGAATGGTCGCCGGTGTGTGTCGGGGCTGTACGGCGGCGAAGGAGATGGAACACTCATTGTGGTAGTACTGAAGCTCCATGGTGGGAAGTCCCATGTGAAGCGTTCAAGGTCCGCCAACCATGGCGTGCCTAGGATCATTTGGGCGTATGACAAACAGGCTCATGGGGTCTTTGGCGATTTTGGCGGCACCTGGCAGCCTGATGTCGCGATTTGGGAGGAGCGCCCGTAAGCATGCCCCGGGGACATAGTCTTCGGCCGAACCTCGTTACCAAACATCGAGTCTCTTTTGCGGTGTGTGCGATCTTTTGTGAGCATCTCGTCTAGGTAAATCCAAGCAATCGCTTCTGCGTAAGGCGCCAGTATCACAACATCCTCCATTTTCTTTTAGCCTTAGTCTTTGTTATGTGTGTGATTGATCCTTCGGCGCACGCTGGATTAATATCACACTACCATATTGAGTATAGTATTCGTATTTCTCCAGGGTTAGAACTAAGCCATTGAATTATCACACTTGCTCCAAAACTTCCATGCCATAAGATTACAAGAAGAATACTACTTTCTTAACACATAAAGACATGTACAACCCAGAGACAGGGGTCGTCTGTATGAGCCTCGAATCTGACGTAGAGACAACTAAAAACTGTTTCACTGTCTGTGAACTATTTATTGTTGTGTATATAGCCTAGATCAATTGTCAAGACTATTTTGTATACCAGTGTGTTGCTATTTGCTAAAAAAACGGATCAAACTTAAATAAGATGAACATGATTACAATATTGTAAAGTAATCAATATAAGTGATATATTGTATATAATTGCAACATCTTTATCTATTTTCTTTGTTTCCATAGCGCAAGCAACTGCTACAGATTTGACTTCAATGAAAATTTCACTGGAAAGATCCACACAGAGGCACACAACATCCTCTTAGCCCCGAGTCAGCCAAAAACAGCTACCATTTCACATTATGAAAATAGCATAGTGACAATGTTTTCCATGTATTAGCCAAACACAGTACCATTCCACGCAGCTAATCAGGTAGGACAAAATCATTTTGCAAACTATTGATTTACTGGCTAAACAAAGAATATGCATATTCAGTGAAACATTTGAGTAAGAAACAATACACTAACCGCTCATACATGACAGCATGTTCAGTAATATAATTGGAGCTTTGAGCTTTTCCAGAACATGACCATATATGAATCCAGTTTTCAGATTACAGATAACAAAAACATGGCCATCTATGACTCTAGTTTTCAGATAACACTAATACACCAATTTTCAGATAACAGATAACCAATTTTCAGATACTGGTAACTGAAGCCAATGCGAGGCCACCGACGGAGCTTTTTGGGTGCAGATGACGTTGCATGCCCATCACCCACCGTCGTTGTCATTGCGCCGCACAACTGCTGCCGCCCTCTTCTGCTCCCGCGACTATGCACCTCACTGCTGCCGCCCTCTTCTGCTCCCGCGACCATGCATCTCACAGCCCCACCCCACACACTCGCCGCGTCTACGACCTCACACAGTGTTGCGCTCTTCTGCAGCACGGGACCAGCTTCTGCCATGGAATAGGGGCGAATCGGCCACACTAGATCCAGCCATCAAGGAAGTTGCCGCCGGCCGCCACCATGACCAATGGGGATGGGTACCGCTGCCTCGCCGCCACCGCGACCATGGTGTTGGTGGCTGTCGCCACCGCCATGCCCTTCCTAATCGAAGCCAACACAGACGGGGAAGAAAGCGAGGACACCAGGGAGTATAGATGGCCAACGGGCCGTGCCGGCCCGATGGGGGTCTTGCCTCGACGGGCCATCGTGCCTGCCGTGCTGTGTCTCCACGGGCTTCGTGCCTGGCCTACGGCCCATGGCACGGCCCGTGGGCCGTCTGACCGTGCCGTGCCGGCCCATTTTTTCTGTTGAGCACGGGACCAGCTTCTGTTGGGCACGGCCATTTTTCCCGTGCCATGCCGGCCCACAGCCCGACAACCAAAAAACATCTTATTTTCACCAGATTTTCACCGAGTGTTTGAACCACTTCTTCATTTTCACCGGTTTTGAACAAGATTCCATCATTTTCATCACCATTTTTACAAAAGCTCACAGATTCACATTCACCACAGTACCACACAATCACAAATCACAACACAAGAGAAAAGACAAAGAGACAAGGTTATATGAAAATGATGATCAAAAGGAGTTGTTTTGTGCAATGCTGCCTCATTAAAAACCTTTCTAGGTAAAACTCACCCTTGTGAGAAACCCTAGAAAGAAAAAAAGAGTGCAGCCAGCTCAAAGAGTCAAAGTCTTAGTAGTAGTGTCTTGTTACAAAAGCCAACCAAAGTGGCAAAGTCCTAGTGACTTAGTGAGTCCACTCCACAGTCCACTCTCATCTCACACTCACTCACTCAGTCACAACAAAAGACCAAAAGTACCTGCAAAATTGTACATAATTCATGTCAATATGTCATTCTTTTGCCACCAGTCTGATCTAAATAGGAAAGAGGAAACAGGAAAGAGTCACTACCTCTCCAGTTCTCCTTCTTCATCAGTCATTACTATCCAGCACCAGCAGTACCGTCGCTGCCGCTGCCTTCGCCTTCTTCGTCCAGGAACAGGTTCTTGAATGCCTCCTCTAGGTCCACGTCCTCAGGTGCATGTTGTTCTCTTCTTACTCCTTGCTCCCAGTCCTTTATGCAGGTGAGCATCTCCACATGCTCAGGCAACAAGCGCCGCCGCCGGTCTTCGAGTATCCTGCCTGACAAGCTGAAACAAAACTCGGATGAGACAATAGATATAGGAACAAACATGATATCTCGAGCCATAATAGATATGATTGGATAGGTTAGCTTGTGGTCACACCACCAAAGCAGTATGTCAAAGGATTCCTCATAACATGTGACAGGGTCACTGTTCAAGTAAGCTGAGAGCTCACTAACACCAGCTCCAGCTAGAGTAGATGAAGATGAGAGGGAATAGCCAGGGGATGCACCAGGGCCTCCAAAGATCCTTCCCCATGCCTTCTTTCTCTTACCAGAATGAGTTGAAGGCTGTGAAACCCTTTGAGACCTAGCTGCACCACCAAATTTCTGCTCATACTTGTTGAACAATATGTACATTTCATCTTTCACATCAGCATAGTATGAACTATAAGTGGATCCAGTATGTTGAGCAAGTAGTTCAAGCACATTAAAGAATCCTTTCATCTTAGCTCTAGGATCAAGAATGAATGCATATGAATAAAGCAGTGGAATTTTCTCCTAATATTTAAGAAATTTAA